CTCATAAACATTTTAACTGATAAATTATATCAAACATTTAAAGCAGAAAAAAGAAGGAACACTTCTCCCCTCATTTTAGGAAATCAACGTTGAGATACACTCTTTACTTAAGAATCAAAATGCATTCCAAAGTAAAATACAAGTTGGGATTAATCGATATTCTATATTCGCTACAATACAATGGCTCTTCATTAGCATGGTTATTTGAGAATGAATACACACACAAGACAATAAGTAATACAGACTGAGTAACAAAGTTCTCTAAATCCTTATCAATACAAAAGAGTACAAAAAACTTTGAATAACCTGATTTCTTTAAAATATCCATCATGGCACTGGAGTTGCAGCTTAGTAGTAGACAGTGGCAGGGGATGAGGCCCTTGGTTGAGTCCCTAGCACCAATAAAGTAAAATAGAATATCCATCATGGCAACTCCTAAGCATTTTCATGAAAGGTGGCTTTGTGAGTACATGAGGGAATGGAACAGCAAAATGGAAGTCAACATGGTAAGCACTGGGTAGGATATCAGTGGTGACAAGGGAGTCATGATCAGGCTTCCTTAGGAAGAGGCAGATAAGACACACTGCATAATAGATATGAATCTCTTAAAATTTTCAAACTAAGCAGAAAACCACAGTATTCTGAGGCCTGTTTCTTTTCTTTTTTTCTGGTGGTACCAGGGATCAAACTGGGGACCTTGAACTTGCAAGGCAGGTGGCAGAACCACTGAGGTAAATCCCTGGTGTGAAGCCTATTTCTTATTATTCAGTAAGGATTAATATATTCTCAAAACAATTTTAAATAGGGTTCAGAAATGAATTAGGCCATTTGGATGGACACGTAGTTCTCAAGGATCGCATCTCAATCTTACTTCCTGATCTAACCATGTCTCATATGAGAACTTAATAAAAAAAAAAAGAAAAAGCCAGGAAGCTAACACATGGCCATGACTATATCACTAACTGGCACCTATTGGGTTTTTCTCCTGGGATCAAAAAATCCATTTTCTTTTCTTTTTTTTTTTTTTGGGGTACTGGGGATCGAACTCGGGTCTTTGCGCTGCCAGGCAGGCAGCAGAACCACTCAGCTAAATCCCCAGCCCAAAACATCCATTTTCAGAAATGATAGAGGTTTAAATTAAAGGTAGAATCTAGCTTATATCAATCTTGATACCACAGCTTCACCTTCTGCCACCTCCTTAGAATTCATGTTGTGGCCTCAATAGTGGGCCATATCTTCGTTCAAAGGAAATATGAAAAAGTCAGAGGATAATAAAAGGTAAGTTGCAATACCTAATTGGAATTAACAGTGACAAAGAATACCGAGGCTTCATCAATGAAAGAAGGAAATATGTGGCAGCTGTTTGAAAATTTATATATGAAATTAACCTTGACAACAGACCTGTGGGCCAGGGATTTAGCTCAGTGGTTCTGCCACCTGCCTCACAAGCCCAAGGTCCCAAGTTCGATCCCCAGTACCAAAAAAAAAAAAAAAAAAAAAAAAGACAACAGACCTAGAGTATTATTTCCTACGCTTCACGGGGAGATCGCTAAAAAAAAAACCTGGCAAATGAAGTAACTTTGGAAGTTAAAGAAGTATCTGGCTAGAGCTAATTATACTTAGCTATATGAAATGATTCATGTTCCAATAATTAAGATAATCCAATAGGCTAAGAAGAAAAATCTGATCAGAAGGGCAAAAGGTTATTAAAATGCTTGGAAATACAACCAACAAATACATAGGCAAATATCATTATACTTAAAAGCAGCTGACTGGGCCAAGGATTTAGCTCAGTGGTTCTGGCGCCTGCCTTGAAAGAGCAAGGTCCAGAGTTCGATCCCCAGTACCAAAAAAAAAAAAAAAGCAGCTGATTGATCAGCTCATCCATAGACCAGAAAAGAAATATACACACCTTTCTGTGTAGTGGGAACAGTGGGGGACAGGGAAGAGGGGGATGAATGAGGGCTAAGAAGAGAAAAAATAACTTGTGTACTCATTGTAAATATAATGGCTTCTGGTCTTAGTTCTGAGAAGAAAAATAATAAGAACTAAGCAAAAAAAAAAAAAGATATTTTAGCAAAATATGAAGAACTATTTGTTAGCTCCTTTTAACTAAAATAGAAACTAAAATATTTGCCTTAGAGGAAAAAAAGCAGAAGTCAAATGAGATAATGCATATGAAAGAAATTTACTTAGATGAAGCAAAATTATAGTAAGCCAAGCTAAACTTTGGCAATACCATATTTACCAAATTTTAAAATATGTACAACCTTTGACCCAGAATTTCCACTTCTGGGCAGGTATTACACAGAAATTCTCTAGCATATGTATAAAGACACAGTAAATAACAATGTTCAATGAAGCTTTATCATAGTGAAAGGTCGAAAACAACCTAAATTTCCATCAATGGGAAGATGGCTAAACAAATATATGGTCCAGCCAGGAATGTAGTTCAGTGGCACTGTGCCTGCCTGGGCAAGTGTGAGGTACCAAGTTTGATCCCTGGTACCAAAAACAAACAAACAAATATATGGTCCATTCTATGATTATACAGTGGTGAAAAGGAATGAGGTAGATCTATGTGCGCTAATGTAGAAAAGTCTCCAAAATATAGATTGTTAAATGAAAAAAATCACAACTAGGTCTACTCAGTCACAATTCTATACTTATAATTACTAATGAAAATATAATCATGACAAGTATGGTGGCATATGCCTGCAATGCCAGCACTCTGGGAGGCTGAGGCAGGAGGATGGGAAGTTTGAGCCCAGCCCAGGCAATCTAGTGACTTAGGGAAACCCTATCTCAAAGTAAAAAATAAAAACAGGGCTGCAGATTGTAGCTCAGTGCAAAGGTCCTGAGTTCAATCTCTAGCACTAGAAAAACAAAACCAAAAAACCCACTATCATATATGTTATGTTTATATTTATGTATTTAAATATATATAAAGTTTAAGGCATACACACTGAATCATTAATAGTGGATTCCCCTGGTAGAATAGCAACTAAGGTTGAGATGGAAAAGAGTTTATGTGTATAAAGGGACATTCACTTTTTATTCTACAAACTTCTACTGTTGGATTTTTTTTTTTTTTTTTTTACTAGAAAGTAGTATATTACTCAGGTTGTTTAAAAATAAAGATATGGGGCCAGGGATTAAGCTCAGTGGTTTCGCCGCCTGCTACACAAGCGCAAAGACCCAAGTTTGATCCCTGGTACCAAAAAATAAAAATAAAAATAAAGATATGGATTTCAGAATTTGTATCTGTAACAGATGGAATCAAAGCTTCCCCATCGCACTGATTTCATTCTGTCTCTATTTCATCTCCATCAGCAGTCCCACCTTCACACTATCCCCCACCCCGCACACACCAGCTTTGTTATATTTAGATCTTTGTCAGGAAGTAAATTGTTTCATTATTGTTATCTCTTACCGTATCCCAGATTTGTAATTTAATTTGTTTTCCATCAATGTTGACCATACGGGCTCCAAACTCCACACCTGTCAGTGAAGGCCAAGAGATAGAATGTGATTCTCGTGAACAAGACATGTGAAGTGGAAAGTTTATACTTTTCCTCAATGTGTTTTAATATCAGCACTTAGTCCCACTGAGCCCATTACTACTGCTTATTTGCTGCAATTGATTGTGTTCCTTTACGTTTCTTCATTTATCTTCTAAAATTAAAAAATGATGGTCTTGGGGCTGTAGTTCAGTGGTACAGTGCTTGTCTGTTTTGGGTAAGGCTCTGGGTTCAATCCCTAGCACCATTAAATGAAAAAGAAAGAAGCCTGGCATGGTGGCACACATCAGTAATCCTAGCACTTGGGAGGCTGAGGCAGTTTGGGCTATGTAGTGAGTTCCAGGTCAGGCTGAACTACATAGCAAAACCCATCTCAATGCCCTCCCCCTCCTCAAAAAAAAAAACCCACCAAAAAAAGGAGAAAAGAAACAGGTCCTCAAAACCATACATTTCAGATCACCAATAATTCCCAGAGTTTACTGGAAAATAGCCTCTCTCATAATGTACGGAAACTGGCAATCTTCTACCAAGGTAACGTCAGGCCAAAACTTAAAAAACAGTCACTAACATTAAAAACACTGGATGAATCAGAGAATTTATCCTATTTCCTATTTTCACCAAGTACTTTGCAAGTAGCATGAAGAATTCATATGTTGAGGATCACTCATCTACCTTGCCCTAAGGACTGATATGCACCTATTTGGTGACCCTGTGCACATATGCACAATATATCAGGAACAGCCCATCTTATTAAGGCACTGTAGTCAAGAAAGATGTAAAAGCTGATTCTTACTACTCTAGCTGCTTCATCAAGAATCAAATTGAAAAAAGTCTTTTTTCTCTAGACAATAGGAATGGAATTTCAATGGATAAGAAATAAAACGTGTCTGTTATGAAATTTTCTCTGGTTATACATTCAGAGACTCTCACATTTTTGTATGTATTTTTTATTCATTTGCCTTGTTTTTCATGGTAGAGAGAACTGAACTCAGAAAGAAACACAGACTTTACTGAATTCTGAGATGAATCTGATTGATCATTTCATGTCTTCATTTTATAGAATTTGTTACTTGCTCTGATTTCGCTCAGGCATTTAAAAACTTGGTACTTTAATTTTTTTCCTCTAGTTTTATATCTTAGTATTCTTCACTTCAAACTCCAAGCCACAGCCATATTATTAAATTACTTTGGTTTTCCAAAGTAGCCTGATCTCTACCATCCTGAGCCTCTGCCTACATTTTTATTTTCTCTTGTCCTGATCATTTCCCCTCATCACTACAATTCTTAGCCTAGCTTCTGCTTATTCTTAATCGTCAGACTTTCTTGATAGAAGTGGCCTCTCCTTTCTCAAAAGGAATTTACTTGTTAGTATCTACCCCCAGCCCTACTTTCTTCACTGGAAGACTACAAGCTATCTAGGAGCAGGTACAATGTTGCCTTGTTAATCACTGTATCAGTCCCTAGCAGAGTGCGGGTATTTCTTAATACTCATTTAAAAAATAATTTATGATCGATGCTATCTTCTAAATCTTTTTCTAATCCCACCAGTTACTCTATCATGGTTTTTTGGTTTTTTTAAAGGAAAGTTACTAGGTTCATTCGCCTTTTAATTCGAGGCTGGGATGGCCCATCAATTTGCGGCTGCTTCTCTAACACGAAAAAAAGTCCATATATTGGCACACACTTTGAAAAACAGGTGAGATTGCTAGGAATTACGGCAAACCACAGATGAGTTTTTTCAATAAGCAGTTATGCTTTCTTTTTTTATTTTTAAAGATTTTTATTGATACATATTTCCAGTAGATCACAGAAGTCACGCTATCGTGGGACTTTCCATAAACATACAAACTGCATTTGAAGGAAACAACATCGTAAGTCAACTAGTCCTCATCTCATATTCTTCTCTAAAATTACCTTTCAGTCATTTACTGCTCATTATTAACGTTTGATTAGTCACTCTTCACATAACATAACCTCGCACTAGTTCAAATAGTGAGGGGTGACACTTTACTTTGAACATTTAAAGCTGCTAACTTTGCACTTCAGCAGTTTGGTTTTACGTTTTCTGGAACAAATAGATACACTTACCTATTGTGAGGTCGTGGACGGGCTGGAACCGCTTGTCTGTAAACTGCAGGAGGAGACATGACTTCCCCACACCTGAAGGAGGAGGATTTGCGTAGCGAGAGGCGAAAGCCCGGGTAACTTCCCCTCTCCTAGACTCTGGGCGCCCAGGAAGGGGAAGGGGAGCCGGAGCCCCGCCCCCGGCTGGCCGCCTCGCCCCCACTCGCTCTTCGCCAAACGCCCAGCCCACTAAGTGAGCCCCGCCCCCGTGACCCGATTTGGGAAGTTCGGGTCCCCGCCCGAGCCTTGAAGGTGGTCCACCTGGGGGTTACCTGTGTCTCCGATGATGATGTACTTGAAGAGGTAAGCATAAGTCATGTTCCCGAGTCCTCTGTATTCCGGGTCCGCCCGGCTTCTTCGGGCACTTACCTCCGACCTCTCTAGCCACTCAATCTACCGATTTTATTCCCCCCCCCACACACACACACCCCCACCCACCCACCCACACCCCTTCTCCGGCCCCTCTAGCCCAGACCACGTCTCTATTGAACTCAGAAATCTCTTGATCAGGAGTACCCGACACTGCCTCTAGGGACATCTCTAGCACTTCTACAAGGCATCATCCCACCAAGCTCCAGGGGGCGATAGCTAGCTTTTCCGTCCGCTCGCGCCTGCCTGGTTGACTCGTTGCAGTTTCCTTCCTATCAGCGGAGAGCGACCTGCGTCCTCCCGGAAGTGACGCATTGCGAGTCCGGGGGGGGGGGCGGGGAGTGGGAGCGATGAGAGGACTGAGACGGTGCTAGCGGCTGTCTGAAAATGGAGGTGGGAAGCTGGGCGTTAAGGAGGCTGGCGAGAGAGCATGGCCGATTGGGTTGAAGCGGAGGCGGGAAGCTGGGGGGAGAGGCGGTGGCTGACCAGAGGGGCGAGAGAGCGGGGTTTGGGGGTTATCAGAATGTCGGGGTCAGAATCCATCGCTCCGAGCTAACTCCCTGCCTCCCCTAACTTACTCCCGCGGCTTTTTTTGGTTTCCAGTTTCCCGGAGGAAATGACAATTACCTGACGATCACAGGGCCCTCGCACCCCTTCCTGTCGGGGGCCGAGGTGAGCAAGAGCTGCCGACGCTTGGTGGGGGGATGGGGGGCTGGGGCAGCGGTGAGGAGGGTGGTGGGAAGGATCGCGGAGGCCAGGGACTGGGGGGCTGGGAACCGGGCACCTCTGTTGGTGTTTTGAGAAAAGTGGCGGCTGCTTTTAGAGCCGAAGACTGAGAAAACTCGGGAACCTGCTGTCATCAGAAAACCAGGAGAGTCTGTTTAAGGAGGAGAGTGGTTCGTGATTGGAAGACTGAAATTGCCTCTTTTGAAGGAGAAATAGCTACAACTTTGGGGGTAGGGTGGCAACAGGAAGAAGAATTTTCAGCGGCTAAAGGAATTGGGGTAAGGGGAGGAGCTTACTGAGCAGGGTTATCTTTGGACACGGTTAGTTCTTGAACTTTGTTGTAGGGATCTTTTTTAAAATTATCTACTCTGATGAAAGTAGTTGCTTTTACATATATGGTATATTGTTTTGCTAGTGGCAGTGGGAAAGAACTCAGAGAACAGGGAAGGAGTTGAGTAAAACATGCATTTGTTGCCAATGACTCAATTTTAGGCAGATTACCTTTGTAGTCACAATTTTCCTAGCTGTCAAGTGGCTGTAATAATAGTTTCTTATGATGTGAAGAAGTAATGGTCATGATGAGGTCCTAAAATATTCCTGAAAAAATTTTGCTTGAGTTAATGTCGTACTATAGATATGTATCACTTGTTTGGGCAAAGTAAAAGTGAAAGGTAAATGAGTCAAAAATTTCCCAGTCTATCTTTTGAGGATAAATTTTTGCCCCCAAACTCTGTATCCTTTTTTGTATTAAGAATTTTCAGTTGATGTTGAATGGGTTTTCCAAATAGTAAATCCTGACATTTTCATGCATTAGAATTAGATTGACCGTGGGCAGTTGCTAGTTTTAAAAATTTATTGTTACTTTTATTTTTCTGCTGAGCTGGAGGAAGTGTAAAGCAAATGAACAAAAAATTTAGAGATGATATAAAACTAAAACCCATTTGGTTCTTTGTAGACTACTCACCTGTTTCTTCTTAGTGAGGTCTCCATGGTTTAATTTTACTGTTTGAAGTGTGAATCTCATATTGGCCTCATCCACATGAAAGTGTCTCATTGACACTTTCTTCCCAGTTGCCACTTTGAGTTCCATTATTTAGAGGGTTGTAAATTGGTCTCATTCATATGAAAGTAAATTTTAAAGTTAAATACAAAACTAGGCCCTTGATGCATGTCTGTAATCCCAGCACTCAAGGAGGCAAAACCGTGTCTCAAAATTAAAAATTTTTAAAGAGACAAGAATGTAACTCTGGTAGAGCACCCCTGGGTTCAGTCCTCAAGAACTATAAATAAATAAATAAAATAAAAATATACAAGTACCTTTCAAATTTGCCCTCTTTAACACTTTCTTTTTGGTACCAGGGATCAAACTCTGGTCCTTGTGCTTGCACAGCAGGCAGCGAAACCATTGAGCTAAATCCCCAGCCCTCTTTAACACTTTTATGAAGTTGAACAATCAAGAAGTAACTACATGAAGAGCCTCTTGTTTGTTTTTTGGTTTTGGTTTTTTGAGACAAGGTCTCGCTGTGTAGTTCAGGCTGACCTTGAACTCACTATGTAGCCAAGGCAGGCTTTGAACTTCCAGTGATCTTCCTGCCTCAGGCTTTTAAAGGCTGGGATTACAGGCACACACCACCATATATGATGAGATGGAGCCTGTTTAACATCAAAAAATTTAGCTTGGGAGTATAGCTCAGTGATAGAGAATTTGTCCAGCATGAGTAAAGGCCTTAGGTTCATGCCCAACACCATAAAAACAAAAGAAAAAAAAAAATGCTTTCCAGGTTTGAGTCTGTTTTGTTTTTGTTTTGATAGTTTAAGAAATTTTAATTAACTGACATGGTGGCCCTGTAATCTCAGCACTTTGAGGCAAATTTGAGCCCATCCCGGACAATTTTGGCAACCTACCAAAACCATTCCTCAAAATAAATTAAAAATGTGGGGGAGGGTCAGAGATTTAGCTCAGTGCCTGCCTCAAAAGTACAAGGTCCTGAGTTTGATCCTCGGTACCAAAAAGAAAGGGTTGGGGATGTAGTTCAGTGCAGAGGCTCTGGGTTCAATGCCTGTTACTGCAAAAAAATAAAGAACTTTTAGTAAGATTAGAGGCAGAAATTCAGAACTAAATTTTAGGTTCAATTTCTGTTGCTTTCTTTAGCCCAGGATTTCTCTTACTGTTTTTTGGGGGGTGGTTGTTTTTTTTCTGGGTGCCAGGGATTGAACTCTGGACCTTGCGCTTTCGAGGCAGGCAGTGGAAACCACCACCCCACCCCCACCCCCTGGGCATCTGTCATTGTTAACCACAACTTCTGTGCATTCCCTTCCCCTCCCCTCTTGGTACTGGTGGTGGTTGTTTTTTAACCTTTGTTTTAATGGGTTTATGGTTTATGTTGTACTTGGTCTTTCCATGACCCATCCCAAATAATTTAGAAGTAGATAAAGTTATTATTATTTTTTTAATTGGGCTAAGGAAGATTGTGCATGCTACACACACCTGAAATCCCAGCGCTCTGGAAGGCTGAGGAAGAAGGATTGCAAATTCAAGCCCAGCCTGAGCAGTTTAGTAATTTAGTGAGAGCCTTTCTGAAAAAATAAAGACTGGGAATGTAGCTCAGTGTGAAGGCCTTGGTTTCAATCTCTAATACTGCAAAAAAATAGACTGGCGATGTGGCTCAATGACAGATTGCTTGCGCCTAGAATGTTTGAGGCTCCACGTTCACTCCCAGGACTGCAAAACAAATACTTCAGAACAATATTTTTCATTTTCTCATCCATAAATAGTACTATTTTAAAAATTGAAAAATTGTACTTCATTGAAGTTGGGAACTTCTTTGCACAAAAAGTCATCATTAGAAGCTAGGCTTGGTGGCACACACCTATAAGCCTATAATCCCAGCACTCCGGGAGGCTGAGGCAGGAGGATCTTGAGTTTAAAGCCGACCTTGACTACTTAATGGCTCATAGGTCGTTCAAAACTAGCTTGGACAGTGTAGCAAAAAATATCATGAACAAATTATATAGGGACTCCACAGACTGAGAGAAAATATTTAAAATACATTTATCTAACTCATATTCAGAATATGTCAGGCAGTTCTGTTCAGTTGTAAAAAGAGCAAAAGATTTAAACAGTCGCTTCAAAAAAGAGGATATCCAAGTTTCCAGTAAGTCTATGAAAAAGTGTGTGTCACCACTCCTCAGGGAAATAAATCTGGGGGTTTAGCTCAGTGGTTCTGCTGCCCACCTTGAAAGTGCAAGGTCCTGAGTTTGGTTCCCCGGTACCCCCGCCCCCAAATAAATGCCAATTAAAATTACAATATGTCATTATACACCCATCAGAATGATTAAAATTGAAAAGACAGGGCTGGAGATTTAGCTCAGTGGCACTGCCCCTGCCTTGCAAGCACAGGGTCCTGAGTTCAATCCCTGGTACCAAAAAAAAATTGAAAAGAATTCCAGTTCTCAATAAGGATGTAGATAACATAATCACTGACAGTATTTATTAAAGATGAACATGCCTAACCTATGGCCTTGTAATTTTGTTCCTTGATATAAATAAAACAGAAATGATTGTGTATGTTCACCAAAAACATGTATGTTCAGAGCAACTTTGTGTGTGTGTGTTTGTTTTGAGACAGGGTCTTGCTGTGTAGCATAGGCTGCCCCTAAACCCACTGTGTAGCCCAACCTGGTCTCAAACTTGCAGCCATCCTCCTGCCTCAGCCTCCCAGGTCCTGGGATTATAGGCATTTGCCACCATGCCCGGAAGCAACATTCTTTTTTTTTTTTTTTAAGCAACTTTATTCCTAATAGCTAAACACTGGAAACCAAATGTATTTCCAGAAGAATGAACTGGTACATTTATAAAAGGATAGCCCACAACAATGAAAAATAAAATGGTAGATGCAATTTGAGTGATTTCAAAAATATATTGTTGAGTAGTAGAAACAACAGAAGTTTAGCCAGGATCTGAGTTAATTTGTAGGAGTTAAGGATAGGCAAAATAGGGTGGTGCACGGGGGAGACTGAGGCAGGAGGATTGCCTAAAGTTCTAGGCCAGCCTGAACTATAGAGTGAGACCCTGTCTCAAAAAAAAAAAAAAGTAAACCATCAAAATACTTGTAGTGGTACCTATTGTGGAGAGGAATGGGCATGAAGAAATCGTTTTTTTTTTCTTTTTTGATACTGGGGATCGAACTTGGGACCTTGTACTTGCGAGGCAGGTGCCAGAACCACTGAGCTAAATCCCTGGCCCAAGGAAATGTTTTACAGAAATACTCTGTTAAGATATTCTTTGTATTTGTTCTGGGTGACAATTACTTGGGTGTTTATG